AGAAGACAAAGGTACACAGGATCAATCAAATACAGGATCCAGGATGTGTTTTAATAAAACAATAAATACACATTCTAAAAAGTGCTGGGTTGTTTTAACCCAATTTTGGGTCAAATATGGACAAACCTAGCCATTGGGTTACATTTTTAAATTAATTTTTTAACCAAATGTTTGAGTTTTTCCATATTTGCCAATTTTTTAGAGTGCAGGAACAGACAGAAGGTTTAACAGCGAGTGTGTGAAACAGGGGACACACACAACACGGAAACGCTGACTGAACACAGAAGAACTAAATACCAAACTAAATGATGTGCAGCTGTGGTGGAAGATTAGTGACCATGGGAACGGATGAGTGGCGGCAAACAAAGACAAAAGGAACATGTGACTGATGAAAACAAACTGAAAGTCCATGAAAGTGAAACTAAAGATGAACAAAACTGAGCGCGTGTGACAGAACGAGCACGACATCGCAGGTAAGGTGAGAAGGAGGAGGCTAAGGAAGAGAGCGTGGAGATGGTGTAGGGATGGTGGTGGAGCAATGGTGACAGATGGATGATGACGAGACCCCAGTGGCGATTATGGTTTATGTGCGATGGCACAGACCCAGAGCTCAGAGACGACCGCCATCGTGGAGACGAAGGAGTGAAGGAGGCTGACGTCAACTGAGGACTAACAGACGATGGATCCTTGGGCGCAGACGGAGAGCCAATGGACATCGCTAGCACAGGAGGCCTGGGTGATGCCATGGCGGTGATGCCGGTGTGATGGAGGACAGAGCCGCAGCCGTAGGGATGGGGAACGGAGCGTAGAGGAAGATCTACAAGTTCATGGTGGAGTGACAGCTGACCAAGGGGGAGCCAGTGGGACGAGGGAACCAGGTGGGGCCGTAAGACCGAGAGTGTCAGGTGGAGCCAACAGGTCGACGAGCAGAGACGGAGTAAGGTGATATAAGGCCGGAGGCGGAGCCAAAACATCCGCTGATGGTGGCTGCAGGACCTGAGGCTCGACGTGACTGCTTGGCATTACAGGAGATGGCGAAGGGCTGCAAAACTACAGAAGAGAAGGCTGGAGGACTGGCTGAGCAGGGTGGTGACGGAGGCAGATGGACATTTGACAGGGTCGACGGTAACAATACATTGTTCATGCAGGTGTCTGATGAAGGATTCAGATGAAACAGATAAAGAGTCCATTGTGCCGTCCAGAAACAGCGATGAAAAAACAGAAATGGGGTGGGAGATAATCAGCCAGTCCTCAGTCTCAATTTTGCTGGGTTCACACCCCTGGTCAGACTCCTCTTCCAACATGGACTCTGGATTAGGGTTGGGTATCGTTTGAATTTGAACGATTCTGATTCCGATTCCGATTCCTTGTTTCGATTCCGGTTCCTAACGATTCTCGATTTCGATTCTTTTAAGAGGCAGGGTCAAAAAAGTTTAGCTAACCTTGCATTTTGCCGAGATTTCGTTAATTTTTAGAAAAGTGAAGCCACACTTTGGACCGCCGACGTAAGCTACTCATGTTCGACTCGCGCGGTTATGCCAACACTTCCGGTAGACGCTTCTTCGTTGGTGTTGTCCAGCGGTTTCTTCTTCCGCTCGGCGGACTGCGAATATCGAAACTAGGAATTGAAATTTTAACTTTTGAACGATTCCGGGAAAAACGAAAAGTTAGTCCCGGTTCCAATCGATACTCGATTCTCGATACCCAACCCTACTCTGGATCATGCTGTGTTCTGGACCAGGGAGTAAACACTCTCCAGACACCGGATGATAGCGTCCCTCCAGTTCAAAGGTGTCTGGGAGGTCTATGGGCCATGGTCAAAGGGGCTGGTGACGGCAAGATGGCCGAACTTCTCTGTGAACATAAAAAAAAAAGTCATGGCTCTCCTGAGCCACAGCAGCAAACATGGCTGCATATTCCAATTTGGGTTGGCTGATCTGTCACGAAGATGAAGATTATGAAGATGAAGGTACGCAGGATACAATATAAAGTGATTTTAATAAACTGAAACAGGAAAAGTGTTTTTGATAAAGGTGGATTCAAAAATCAGTTGAGGTTGACCTCTGCACGTATTTGTTGCTGGGAAGGAAGACCAGGCAAGCCTCTGTCAAAAATGTTCCACTTTTAACCCAGCTGAAACCTCATGTGAATAGATATTTTAGTGAGGAATCTCTTGCAATGGACTAAGATCAATCTAAGGAGAGCAATCAGGGGCTCTTGAAACACACGTCATGATGTCATCACTCCTGTTTCAGTCTGAAGATAAAGTTAACTAACCGATTCTTGCTGACAGACCCAGTCAGCACTATGTCTGATTCCATGTTTCTTGTCTGTGTCTTAGTAGATCTCCATGCAACATGTAATGCGATTACATCATTTACTTTTTTGATCAGCTATTGTGGTTCATTTGTGTTATGGTTCATGGTCTGTGAGGAAACTACCTCACCACAAATGTCTAAATGACAAATTACTGAATGAAAAATTCTATCTATCCATCCATCCATACATAAATCTTTTTTCAGTTTAACATGAAATTAAGAAAAACTACTATATTCTTTTTTTTATTTTAGTGTTCTATAATAAATATATGTGTTATGCACATTTGTATCAGATTCATAATTACTCCTTTAGGCTAAAACCTTTCAAAGCAAAGAAACCAATGGAATACCTTCAAGGGTTTGAGGTGGAATGTTTGGAGAGAGCGTCAGCATTCAGAACACGGAAGAATAGGACCCATTTTTGTCTCTTTTGGTGCTCTTATTCAATTAGAGATCAGTAGAACTATTGGTTCTAGTGCTTAATTCAATCAGAGTCCCTACCCATCTCATGTGAATCCAATTACTGATTTATATGAGGCTCCCTCTCAAGCACCTCCATACTCCTACAACATTAGAATGAGTTTTGTAATGTGGCCATTTGTTTCCAGCATCCAGAAGTGGCATCTTTGTTATTAGTCCAAAATTATTAGGTGTTTTTTTTTTTTTTTTGCTCCCTGTTGAGTTCACAAATAAGTAATGATTGGTTAGGCTATATAGGCTGGACGGGGCCTGGTCTTTTTAGGCTATATTCCTGCTGTCATTTCTTGACCTAGACAAGAAAGTCATTAGATACACAAAGCAAACTTTTGTTGACGGATATTTGGTCATTAAATTGTGACTAGGCTAACTTTTCAATGAGGAAGATTTGATAAATAACCTTTTTTGTTGTTGTGTAAACCTAACTTAAAAATATCTTAAATAAAATGTTACTATTCCAATGGTAGAGCCACGGACCTTCATATCTTCCAATAATAAGACCATCTCTGGAAGAGGTACGAGACTCATGGCATTCATTCACTATTGTGTTAGTTATTTGGATGACTTGTGATATATAAATGATTAAAACACATTGATTAAACTGTGCACATTTGATTAACACATATACAAACTTGAATAAACACATGCAAACAAGAGACAGCTGTGACCTCAGGTGGGCGGTGGTCATATATGGCAGTGTTCTCTCCCTTGGAACTCATTTGTAATTGGTTAAGCTGATGGTGGTGTTACAGCTCAAAATGCAACTGTTCTCTAACTGAATAACAACTTGTAGCCCAGTGAAGCTCACAAGTGGTAATTCAATTGAAATAGTCAAGTCACCTTTATTTACACTCACCTGAAGGATTATTAGGAACACCATACTAATACTGTGTTTGACCCCCTTTCGCCTTCAGAACTGCCTTAATTCTAAGTGGCATTGATTCAACAAGGTGATGAAAGCATTCTTTAGAGATGTTGACCAAAATTGATAGGATAGCATCTTGCAGTTGATGGAGATTTGTGGGATGCACACAGGGCACGAAGCTCCCGTTCCACCACATCCCAAAGATCCTCTATTGGGTTGAGATCTGGTGACTGTGGGGGCCATTTTAGTACACTCATTGTCATGTTCAAGAAACCAATTTGAAATGATTCGAGCTTTGTGACATTTTCCAGCTGGAAGTAGCCATCAGAGGATGGGGACATGGTGGCCATAAAGGGATGGACATGGTCAGCAACAATACTCAGGTAGGCCGTGGCATTTAAACGATGCCCAAATGGCACTAAGGGGCCTAAAGTGTGCCAAGAAAACCAGACTCATCGGACCAGGCAACATTTTCCAGTCTTCAACTGTCCAATTTTGATGAGCTCTTGCTAACTGTAGCCTCTTTTTCCTATTTGTAGTGGAGATGAGTGGTACCCGTTGGGTTCTTCTGTTGTAGTCCATCCGCCTCAAGGTTGTGTGTGTTGTGGCTTCACAAATTCTTTGCTGCATAACGAGTGGTTATTTCAGTCAAGTTGCTCTTCTATCAGCTTGAATCAATCGGCCCATGAGTGAGGGTATATAGAGCTTTATATAATATAGATTCAAAGCACAAAACAGAATATAAATGGGAAAATACTGATGCAAACCATCAAATGAGAGAATTTAAATTCGGCTGTAAAGCAGCAGAATACAATAATGTTATTATTCAGCTCAGGTCAGTTCAGTGTAAAGTTCATCAATTATGAAATTTGTTAAATTTAGCTATAAGCAGTCATGATTTAGCTTGAGTCAGTTCAATGTTGATTCAATTTACATCAATGACAAAGTCCAATGTTGGAAAATGCATAATGAAACGAGTAAAAAGTAAACTTTCACAATTACAATCGATCTTTGTTTTTTTTTTTTATCAGAAATCATTTTTAGGCATACTAATCAATGTTTTCAAATATTATTATTGATCAAACACTAATTTATACTAAAATTGTTCAACATCCTTTAACAGAAAAGCGAACATCTGACTAAAAAATTCATTTTGTGAAGGCCGGTTATATTTCCTCGCTTCATTTTCGCGCTACTCTGTCAGTTTGCGTCTTAAATCAAACTATATTAATGTCATGCGTTGTGTTTCTCACGTGTTAGTTCGAGGGAAAAGCTCATGTGTCCCACGATCTGACCTCTCATCGTGATGGGACTAGTGGACACCAGGGCATCATCCTCCGTTCACGCATCTCTCCCCTCTCTCTCTCCTCTTAATCTTAAAGACGCTTTAGCATTTGCTTTTGCCTAGTCTCTGGAAAACATCTGAATCATTTTAACCAACTCCAGCTGTCGCCCTGGTGTGTGTGTGTGTGTGTGTGTATGAGAGAGAGAGAGAAAGTGCGTGGCCGTCTGTGAATGAGAGGAGACTCGAGCGAGGGTGACGTTTAGATTTACAAAAAAAAAAAAAAAGTTAGGATATTCTTTTCGTCAGTTTTTTGTCGGTATGAACGCAGATGCGTGCGTCTCATACTGCGATATGACCTCCATGGATTCATATTATCCCCCATCGTCAGGGCAAGGAAGAGTCCAACAGGCCAATCCTTACAGGACGTTCCAGCCGAGCGACTCTAAATACAGTCCCACTTTCCTGCCCGCCAAAGGTCAAGCTTACGGGGACAAGCCGAGGAGTCCCTTCCAGCAAGAGTGCCCTTCACTGGAGGAAAGCTCAGCCGAGAGCCCGTACAGCAAGTATCATCTGTTCATGCAGAGACCCACATGCAAAACTCCCACTGAAGACAGCAAACTACAGGACATCTCTTGCTATGGTGAGTGGCAATCATTAGATTTCATTTATCAGGAGTCTATATCTCCAGAGGTGACGCACACAATTAACATGATTAAATTTCCACCCTATGTTTCGGATTTGATCACTGTATCGGAACATCTCCAGGATGAGAGTAAAAGGAGGCCTTTAATGAGTTATAAGCTTCAATTTGTTCACGTTTGTTCATACGTCTTACTTCGAAAAAAATATACGGTGGACTAACACTTTATTTTAAGGTGACGTTCACTTTTTACTTAACAGTAAATAATTCAAGTAACTAATCCTAAACTAAACCCTAACCCTAACTGCAGCCTAACTCAATAGCCATTGTAGAACATTAATATTAGGCTACTCATTAGTAGCCTAACGTGACCTTAAAATAAAGTGTTATCAAAATTACGTTAGGCTATGCTTTACATTTTTAAGGTCAAAGTTATTTGTGCACTTTTCCACGACTTTTTAAATTATTGATAAAGAAAGTTGAAACTTTGAACAATTATAATATTTTATTTAATTAGCCACGTTGGTTATTTAGCCGGAATGACATTGACATGTCAAATAAACTTGAAAGATAAAGCAAAACAAAAAGCCTATATCCGCTAAAATACTATTTCGCTGCAGCCGTCTTAGTAAAAATCTTTAAGATTTTTGTAAATAATAATACATTTTTATAAATAATAATTCTCATGACATTTTTTGCGTTTATTAAATCGAATAAAATATTTGTAGTCTATTAAACTCACTTTTGTGTGTTTTAAGATGACAGAATTCTGACTTTTCTGCTTAATGCAATGAACAAATGAGAAATGATAGCGCGTAAATTCACTAAATAAATGTTAAACATAATTAGGCCTGGTTCATTTATTCATTCGTGTAGCCTACTTTGCCATAGCCTATTTATCAGAGTGATTTATCGGCATCGTTCAGGCACTTTCTGAAGACTGTAGTGATTTAAATCCACATTCATTCTCGCCTGTTATTTGTCAGAACTAATAGCCTACTTTTACGTTGACCACGCGGACGTTGCCGACAATTAAAATGTTCTAACTCATAAAAAATAAATATATAAACAATTCGGCTGGTGATCATAAACAATCAAAGCAGAAGTCATGAACAGACCTACAGATGTTGACATGCACAAAACGAATAAAAAGATTAACATCGTCTTCTGACTTTCAAAAAGTGGCATGAAAATCCATCTTTGTGGTTGTAAATCAGGCAAGGGCTATTTACGATGCCTGATCGCAGGCCAGTGAAAACAGACACCGACTGTATCTTCAGGCTATATATAAATATTACAATTTCTGAACTGTCTGTTTATGACGACAACCTAAAACGAAGTTGTGTCACACAAAAAAAAAAGATGAAAAAAAAAATGTATGGGCTATTTTGAAGTGATTAGAAAAAAAAACAGCATTGGCCAAATAAAAATATGTATCTAACTTTACCCGTTGTCTACCAGGACCTTTAAAACGTTGCTTATTTGATTACAAATGTTTTAAAAAGAATTCCACTGATTAATTCTATCGAAAGTCATTGGGAAATTATCATGAACCCAGATTATTATTAGGATAAATTAAATAAATTAATAATAAAAAGGAAAAAAGAAACAGAGGTTTTAAAATGTCTTATTATTCAAGAGCTCTTTTTGCACATATGAAATATTTATTGTCTTATGTAATAATAATCAGATTTGAAAAAAAAAAACAATAATATATAGGCTAAAACAATAATCACATCTTTAAAAATTCACAAACACAGTTCACTGTATTTTGCAATTATACTGGTGTTTGAATAAATGGATTCATTAAAAATAAAAATAAATAAATAATTTATGCTCTAATTCAGGTGATATTTAGGCCTATTTGTAAAAAGATTATTGCAGTTCAACTGGACATAATACTTAAATATTTTCAACAACCAAAGAATAGGTTGTCAAATAGTCATCAGGCCTGAGATATTCACCAATAATTTCATTTCATGGGCATATTATGATGCACAGACACAGACAGCGTTTCTTTGAGGAGAATAAACACCGGTTCCCACACCATGGTCTGTGTTCATAGATGTCAAGGGTAAGATCGAGCCTGACCAGTCGGACAACACCGGGAAGCCGAAAACCGCTTTTCATCCACTTTTTAACACAGAGAGAAGTGTGTGCTCTTCAAGTTCTTGTAAACGTGTTATGTGATTAGATCCAAAATATAACAGGGTGGTTTGCTCTTTCCAGCCAATCAGAACAGAGTCAGTAACAAAGTGGGTTCATCATGGGTGTGAAGTGTTCGGAACAATAAGAGCGCAACATTTCTAATGAAACCTTGCACATGACTTGAGTATAGTTAATTAAAGCAGTCTAAATGTATGAGACTACTTACCAGGGTAAATCCTTAACAAATTCTGTAATCTCACAATGCATTTAAAGGGATATTTCACTTTGAAATGAATTTTTGATATGTTTTAGCTTACCTTAAGTGCATCCAAGATGTAGGTGTCTTTGTTTCCGCAGTAGTTTCACTTTTGATATTTTTAGGTCCAACCGTTCTTGTCTGTTAGTCAAATAATAATGGAGGTCTATGGTCACCACCTCAAAGAGCATGCACAGAGAAGTCCAAATTAAACATGATTTAATGACTCGTAAATGTAAGTACACATTGATGGCCTAAGACACGAAACGAGCAGTTTGTGTGAGAGAGGTTACAAGAGGTAAAAACAATATTAATATTGTTTATTTTCTCACACAAACCGCTCGTTTCGTGTCTTAATCAACAAAAACATATTAAAAAAAACATATTTATAGATAAAAAAAAGACTGTACAGGTTGATATAAAAATTCAGCCATGTGTAAAATACTGTTCAATGCATGCCACGAAGAGAATGTTTGCATCCTCGCCATGAGTTATTTTAAACTATAGTGAGCTTATGGGAGTGAAATCCTGGAGACAGAAATCTGTCTCAGTTCTGCAGTATGGAAGTCATGTGTGAGGTCATTTTTCAGGAGATTTAACGGAAACACTGTCCTGGTTTCCCACAGAATCCACATTCCTGTGCCGGCTTTCAGGCATTGATCTTCTCACAGGAACATCTGGAAGTTTTGCTTCTGCACAGATACCTGTATCTTCAACGTACAGTATAAATATTAAATGCTCAATGAATTGCTTAACATTTTACAATTGGAGGCCAGATGATAGAGCGGAGATTAGAATTTTTCACTATTAATTGGCATCTATACGGTTTACTGAAGAATCTTTCATATCCATAGAACCCAAAACACTTTTTATTGTGGAAAAATGTTAATTAGATTCTTCACATTAAAGGGATAGTTCACTTGGAAATTGATTTTTGATACGTTTTAGCTTACCTCAAGGGCATCCAAGATGTAGGTGTCTTTGTTTCCGCAGTAGTTTCAATTTTGATATTTTTAGGTCAAACCGTTCTTGTCTGTCAGTCAAATAATGGAGGTCTATGGTCACCACCTCAAAGAGCATGCACAGAGAAGTCCCAATTAAACATGATTTAATGACTCGTAAATGTAAGTACACATTGATGGAGATAAAGATAAGAATCTTTATTATTAAGAGCATACACTCTTATAAATTAAGGTTTTAATGTTTATGCAATGGAAGAACCATTTTTGTAGTTTTTCTCTTCTTAGAGTGACGTTTTAAAAATCCAAAGAACACTTTTCCACTATAAAATGGAAAGGTTCCATGAATGTTAAACGTTCCTCATTTATGCCATTTAATTTTTAAAAGACCTTATTTTCCTGGGGACATACTAGCAAATTGGCCCTCTGGAAACAAATCTAATAATGTAAAAATCACATATTTTACACAACTGATATTTGCATTGCAAAAGCCCTCAAACATATTCCAGAATTCTCCTTTCTGTAAACCAGTGTTTACAGTAATACCCACCTCTTTAGAAAATTAATTCACACCAAGGCAAAACACTCCCCTGAGCACACTGACTCTAAAATTTAATCACTGCAAGAAACAAGGAGAAACACATCAAAGTGTAATTGAACTAGCTGTAAAGCAGCAGGACACATAGCTTTTATAGAATCCAATGGTTTTGGTCAACTCCAGATAAATCACACAGTAACACATCACACATCTGTGTCATTCAGTGACCCTCATGTCATTTAATAATGAATAATGCCATTTTACACTTTAAAAATAAAGGTTCCAAAATGGGGGTTTTGCAGCGATGCCATGGAAGAACCGTTCTGGATTCTCCAATGAGCCTTCAGTGAACAATGCTTAAAATAAACTTTTTTTTTCTTAAAGGGATAGTTCACTTTGAAATTAATTTTTGGTATGTTTTAGCTTACCTCAAGGGCATCCAAGACGTAGGTGTCTTTGTTTCCGCAGTAGTTTCACCGTTCTTGTCTGTCAGTCATATAATGGAGGTCTATGGTCACCACCTCAAAGAGCATGCACAGAGAAGTCCAAATTAAACATGATTTAATGACTCGTAAATGTAAGTACACATTGATGGCCTAAGACACGAAACGAGCGGTTTGTGTGAGAAAACGAACAGTATTTATATCGTTTTTACCTCTTGTAACCACAGCCACGTCCAAGTGATCTGAGGGCGCGGGCGCTTTGTGGCTGTGGTAACAAGAGGTAAAAACGGTTCAAGGTCCAAATGAGAGTTTCAGTGCAGCTTCAAAGGGCTTTAAATGACACCAGATGATGAATAAGGGTCTTATCTAGGACTCTTTGAGTCATGACTCGAAAAAAGATTTGTTTGAGTTCGAACAGGAGAGTCACGAACGCGCATCACAGAACAGAGCAAGGCGAGCATTTGTGCTTATAAAACTTAAACTTTTTTATTTATTTTTGAAATGACCGATCGTTTCGCTAGATAAGACCCATATTTATTGTCCGGTGTCTTTTAAAGCCCTTTGAAGCTGCTACCCATGGTTCCCATTGAAGTCCATTATATGGAGAAAATCCTGGAATGTTTTCATCAAAAACCTTCATTTCTTTTCGACTGAAGAAAGAAAGACGACATCTTGGATGACATGAGGGTGAGTAAATTATCAGCAAAAGTTTTTCTAAAAGTGAACTACTCCTTTAAGTGGATCTGGGCGTGATTACATCTTTACAGGGGGTGATCAGGAACTTAGTGAGCAAAATATTTCATCTACTACAAGAGGACTGTCTCTGACTTATGTGCTGTAAGTGACTGTGGCTAAACGCAAAATGACGAGTATTTATTGTGCAATGAAGCTAAGTCAAGAGGTGGGGAATATTGCATCAAAAAGTGCTGTTATATCAAGTGGATTTCAGTAAATTAACAGCACTTTACCTATATCTATATCTCCATGCCATTGGTTAGATTCTGCATTCTATATGGCAAGCAGAAAAAAACACAAAGCATTGCTCAAATCCCCAAACATTTGGACAGTGATCAACCCAGACTATTGCTGTCAATGCGAAAGTTGCAGCCAAAACCAAGGAGCTTTGGCTTTAAAATGCTAAACATGCAATGGCACTGTTTAAAAATGTGGTGGTACGCAGATTCAGCATAACATGGCCTACACAGCCAAGGAAAGACAGCAGGGTGGGACTGAAAGTGCTCACCACAGCAATTACCATGACTTCTCTGCCAAACACAGAGACGGAGCTACAGTTATCGCTAAATATTAGTACATTTTAATACTCTAATAGCATACTCTAAACAAAGTATAGAAATAACAAACCATTGGAAAAGTTTCAGAGTGAAAATTAATAATATATGTTGTTATACAAACGATGACTACCCCTTAGTTGGGTTAGCATTCAATTGTGTGTGTGAGTGAGGAGCATGAGAAAAACACAAAGAAACATCAATGGACAGAATATTTGATCTCAGATTATCAGGTGTCTTTATGCACTTATTTAAAAATATATACATATTTTGTTCATGATATATTGTAAAACACGTTTGTGATGTGTTGGTTTAAAGGAGTTTAAAGGGTAGAAAAAGGGCCAATACTGTAATTATAGATGTCATTTCATAAATTAATTACATGCATGTACAATTTTAAAAATATGTATGGACAAAATAAGTGCATTGTATCAAACTGTTATTTTAAATGAAAAAATAGTCCTAAATTAAAGATGTATGTATTAGAATAAAAATGTAAGTTTCCATCCATTTGGATTTTACAGTTTTAACTTAAACTAATAAACTTAACGTGATGCAACTTTGTCAGTTTTACATAAATTAGACAGATTTCTGTAATAGTATTAACAAACTAATGTGTTTTAAAAACACAATAATCAGGTTTATATATTTATCATAAGTAAATCCATTTTTTTATCTCATTACTGAATAGATTGTAATAACTTTCAGTGATTCTAAGCAATAAAAATATGCATTTTGAAAATATGATTATTTAAATAAAATCAAATGCATTTAATTACAAACTCTTCCATTTGTTGAGTGCCGAAATATCACCCGTTTCATTTTTAATGACTGACATATGCATCAAATCAACTTTTAATTAATTTCGATTTTTTTTTTAAAGACTGTAATCCAAATAAATGGAAATTTAAATGCAATTCAAATACATCAAATTTACATTTTTTGAGTGGAGTAGTTAAAGACAATTATTGTAACTTTAATCGTTTTATTGTACATAACTTACAATCAAGCTGTAATTTTATCAATCGCTTTATTCCAAAGTGTGAAAACTTACTAATTGGGTTAATTTGGAATACATAAATGATATCTATGAAATTGGAGTAATACAAGGGAGTCTGCCATTTTATAATTTTAGAAAGTCAGTGTATATGCCTAATACTATTAAACATTTGACTTGTGCTGCTTGTGTGGTTGATTGGCTCAAACACAAGCAGAAAATGTTTCTAAAACGAGACTATCTCACCAGTATAACTTTGACTGTTGGAAAGGTGGTGTAACTGAGAACCTCAGTGCAGTGTGCATTGAACAGGCATGATTTGATTATTTACTTACAATCATGGGCATGTTTGTACTTTCTCCAAGATACTGACTCAGGCATCCAACCAGAAAACATATTTTTACTGCGATAAATAAAGGCTTGTTGCACACTAGAGGGCTTTGAAATGTAAGGTGACAACAGAACCCACTTTATGTTGAAATGAAGAATATTTGTATACAGTAGGAGTAGATGAGTGTAACGCTTATGTTCTCTTTGGGAATCGTATGTTGTGTTTCATTTGTTGCCATGGTTTTCGTTATTAGTTTTTCACCTGTGTCCTGTTAATGATCTCATTCCACCTATTTAAGCCTGTGTTAAACACTAAAGCCACAGTTAATCCATTGAAATATGTTTGTTTCCAGGTAAAGATGGCACTGGACTGACAGACACAGAGATGCCTCAGTCTGATGATCCTACAGGTATGGATGGTAGTTACATCAATCTGAAAGACACCGGGGTCAAAGGTCAAGCAGAACGCCCTGAGCTCGGCAGTCCTCTAGACAAGTGTGAGGCTGAGAGCAATAAAGGCAAGAAGAGACGGAACCGCACCACCTTCACGAGCTATCAGCTGGAGGAGCTGGAGAAGGTTTTCCAGAAGACACACTACCCTGATGTGTACGCCCGCGAACAGCTGGCCCTCAGGACGGACCTCACTGAGGCACGGGTGCAGGTAAACCTTGATCGTTTTGCTTTGTAAATTACTAGGGCTGTCAGTTTAGCGTGTTTTTAACGCCATTAATATTTTTATTGCGCAATTAACGGTCTCTTTGGCCTAGCAAACTTTGTTGTTTTTTTATATGCTTTTGCAACAGGACGCGGCATGCGCGGCGCTATGAAACCCATTCATTTCAATGGCTTGCGCCGCACAAGGACGTTTTGTTGCTTCGACGACCAAAGCGAAAGCGGATCTAGCTAGACCGGAAACAAAACAACAGGCACGCCGCACACACTTGTTTAGGCTTGCAAGCCGGCCAAATAGTTGGTTAACGTTACGTTTTGAGTGGATGACGAGTGTGAGACGCCGAAATGGATGCCAATAAGATTCTGGATGGAAAGTTTACTTCTTTTTTTTTTTTTTTATAAATCTATTCCTCACAATTCCACAGGTTTCCCCCCCAAGTCTAAATGCTAAGTAGAACAATAGTCTCTGCTGTGCATAACAGATCTCTATTCTTACATCATGACAGAGAAGCTGGACCCACACCACTTCTAGTCAAGTTTTATGTACCGCTCTACACCACAGTGTTTAAGGATGTTAAGAAGAGTTAGGGAGAAAAAACACACGATCTCTGGCAGTTGAAAAAAATGCCAATGAGAATTTCCATGCAGAGAATGAAGCATTGTCAGGAACCTGGCCATGTTTTGAAGGTACAGTGGAGTAACTGCATGCGTTCTGAGTCACACACACACACACACACACACACGAGTCTAATTACCCCTGTAGGCTGACAACACAGTGCAGACTCTGTTGAGTGACTACAGGGTTCGACCCGTTTTTCAAAAACATACCTACAGACATACGCAATTGTGATGATCGCTTTCCTCCTCAGTGCTGTTTCTCAAACAGGACTTTTTCCCTCAACACACTGTAATAGAGGATGTTTTGGATGACATCATATATAGTTTTAGTCCTACTTGCAACATACATTTTGGACCATATTTTGGTATCTTTTCATGCTCAAAACCTTATGCGAGCGCATTTGTGTAGTGACGCACTTATGCATTATGAGTGTCCTTAGAGTGTGTGTGTGTGGATCTGCACAAGGGTCCCCTGCTCTCATCTGTGGGTCTCTGAGAGGTCAGCGGGGGCAGCTCTGGAGAGCCGGGGGCTTAGGCGTCAGGAAATTAAACATGAAATGTAAACAAACTCTAGCCTGAACATTCTCCTCTTTTCACTTTCTAACATCCTCCCGTTAGAATTTGAGTTTGAAGAAAAGAAAGAGCAAAGCAGAAAGTTTGTATCACAGAAAGATGCAGAAGACGTAAACTCAGACGAAAAAAGTCTGAATTGTTAGTTGTTAAATCAAAAGTGCTAAATATAAACCCACATTTGCGGGAAATAAATGGGCAATTCTGAAAAAAAGTCAAAATTGTGAGATATAAACTTGGAATTGTGAAAAATAAAGACTTAATTGTGAGATTAAAAGTCGCAATTATGTAATAAATAGTATAAATAATACTCGACTGAATACTGACTCTCTCGATGAATGCTTGATCAACATAAAAAAGATGGCCGACGGGTTTTGATTCTGACGCGTGTGAATTTCGCTTGTTTATGCGCGTAACGCGTCTTTGCATTGACTTTACATTGAAATAATTCGCACCTGACGCGCTATTCGCGTAAATTTCGCAATTTTCGTCAGTTTCACTCTTGACGCGTGAATTAACACAAAGTAGTCAAGCGTTAAACTAGTGGTCAAGCGTACAAACTGGTAGACGCAAATTTGAAGCACTATTCACGTCCGGTGTGAACGCACAGTAACGCTTTCTCCACTATTGACAGAATGTTCTGGGTTTCAGTGTTTTCACTGTTAAACGGTAGGGGGCACTATTACACATCTTCTGAAATAGTGCAGAATCTCCAGATAAAAAAAAAAAAAAAAGATGTTTGCTTTTGCACATCTTTGGGAAAGAAATGGTATTTTCAAACTTCAAGTATTTCTCAAAAAAAAAAAAAAAAAAAGAATGCATAAAACTAGAATAAAACATTTTTGGCTGGCAACTTAAAAAAAATTGCTAATAAAAAATGCAGGCGGCGAAAAAGTTATTGTAAAATGGCATTTACCATGTAGATTGTCCTTCAATTTATCTTCAAAACATGTAGAGGAAAGAGGAACAACATAGACTACGAATACAGATGCTGCTCAGCTCATTGATCATTGGTCATTATCTCTGATTACTCTAAATTTCGTAGTCCAAGGGAAAACAATATAAATGTCCAAAGAGACAGGGATTAAATTACAAAGATTCACAAAACAGATGACATGATCATAATGGCACTTGGAGGTCAAGAGCAGGATATGACATCGGCCAGGACGATCAAATTACTGTGTATACAGTTGGCCTCTATAGGACAACTTAAGCTAATTCAAGCAATATATTTTGTAACTCAAATAAAGGTTCTAGGGACAGATTGAAAAAAGCTCTTGTGAGGTCCCCTCGAAAACGAGATGTCACATCTCAAGGGGTTTTACTCTTAACAATAAATTTGAAATTGACACTGCCCTTTTGAAATAGTCATTGAAAGCATATGAACAACTGTTTAAACATGGGAGTCATCTTCCTTCCTAAATTACACACCAGAGACAAATCCATGAGTAGCTTATTCGTTTGGTCCAGTGAAGATTGTGGAGACCAGATCAACAACAAATCTGAACATCTCAGAGCGCTTTTTAACTGACATTCCAGACTGATCTCATGAAGTAGCGTATGTATGACACGCCAATTCGTATTTCCATTTTTGGCGTGCTATCAAGACGCATAATCGCTTTTCAGCGTTTATGAACGCCGTTGACTTAACGTTATATAAATATATGACTTACCTCAACCCCGTCCCTAACCGTCACTGGGGTTAATGGCATTTATAACTATTCCCTTACCATCCTAGGAAAGAAAAAGATATGACTTACCTCAACCCCGTCCCTAAACTTAACCGTCACTGAGGTTAATGGCATTTATGACTGGAGATTTGACGGCGTGTAAAGACACGCGGAACGTTAATGGCGTAGACATACACGCGGATAGCTCAAAATGCGTAGAGATAAGTGGCGTGTATGTTTACGCAAAAGTCATGATGTCATGTTGAACATTCTCTGTCATATAGAGCAGGGGCGCAACTACCCAGTTTCAGAGGGGTATGCAGCAACAATTTTAGCGCCCCCCCCCCCCCAAAAAAAAATAAATAAATAAATAAATAAAATGTAATGTAAGTGTGCTGTGTAATAAGTGAGTAGGAAGAAATGAGAGCTAACAGAAAAAAATAAGTGCAAAATTGTCGTTTATTAACACAATTAAACTATAGCTACTCCACCTTGATGAACCCCCCCTAAGAAAATTATAAGCTCCATTGTAACAGCAATACCAGTGTTTCTCACAGGATTTTAGGTAAAACTGTGGTAGGTGGACCTCTGTTTCTCTAGGGGGGTTCGGGGGCATGCTCCCCCGTAAGAAAATTTTGTGTTCTGTAATGTTAAATTCAGCAGTCTGGTGCACTTTGAGAGTTCAAAATTAAAAGCTCCAACCCATATTCAGGGTGCAAATTAAACAGAGAAAAATTTGAACCTCTTTTAGTTAGTGTCTGTCTACATTACACTACTACATAATAATAGTTATAATATTAATCCCATGATAGTAATTGCCATAAAGGCTATTGTAAAACAAATGCACAAAAAAATAAAGGAAACTTTCATAATTAGTTTTGCACTAATTTCTATACTTGAAAGATACTTGCGCATAATGACGTTTCATGGGCCAGTGTGTCAGAAAAAAAAAACTAAAGCTGACTTTTTTGACCAATGCATTACACCAGCACAGCGCCGCCAATTAAGCAAAAAACAAAACAAAAACAAACAAACAAACAAATGGGCCGCCGATGTATGAGTTTTGTGGGCCGTTAAGACAAATAAATTAAAAAGGATGAAATGTATTGTCTGAAAAGCACGTCGGCCCAGCGGGAATCTCACGGTAGTCCCGATGGCCACCGAGATATAGATAGCCTATGCCTGGATGTCACATTTTAAATCCTACCTGTTGGCTTTCAGCAATGCATGCAGTTATTTAGCTGCTGTCGCATCAATTGACATGCCATCTCCTTTTCTCTCTTTCTTTTTCTATTTTTAGCCCCACAGCATTTTGTTTTATCCATCTTTTTCGACGACAACTAACTACTCGTACCTGCTCGCTCAGCGCTCACGGCACCCCCGCCCGCTCGCGATATTACCCGCCCCCCTTCTCCATGAGGGCGCCTACTCTAGCCTGGCTGTTAGTCCTCTAAAATTTTATATAACATTGAAGGAATGCAGAAATGATTTAGAAACGCACAACGGCAGCTACATATAGAAATACAATATAGCCTATATATAATTAGTTTTTTTTTTTTTTTTTTTTTTTACCATCGCTTTGGCGCCCCCATTGTGCTGCGCCCCTATGCGCCGCATATAGCGCATACCCACTTTTTGCGCCACTGATATAGAGGGAATGCATTGACGTCACTTTCCCACCGGAACAACCCCCCTCAGCCTGACTGAGTGGCAAAAGATCTGCTGTGTGACTGGATTTAATAGGGGAAACTGCGAAAATGCGACTAAAATGAACAATTTTTATCAATTTAAACTAAATGTTGGACTTAATATAGTGTTCCTTACAACTTACTAAAGATCCAGTAATCCATGGATATTGACATGCAGCCAGGAATCGTGTTGCCTGACATTTATGTTTGTCTGATTTCGACACCGGGGAAATAAAAGTAATATAGACCTAAACATAAAGCAAATTTGCCCTTGAACGCTTTATATAAATACAATATAGGTAGGTCTAAGTCTGGGTGATCACTTACACCAGTGTTATGTATATAGCCCTATATATCATCATACACTCTCAGAAAAAAGATACGAAAGCAGTCGCTGGGGCTGTACCTTTTCAAAAGGTAAACTTTTGTCCATTTTAGGTGTTAATATGTAAATGTTAAGTGCTAATATGTACATTTTAGGTGCTAATACATACATTTTAGGCGCTAATATGTACATTTAGGTTCTAATATGTACATTTTTAGGTGCTCATATGTACATTTAGGTGCTAATATAGCTAATATGTACATTTTAGGTGCAAATGTGTACATTTCAGGTGCTAAAATGTACAACTAAGGTACCAATATGCAACCTTTAGGTACAAAAGTGTACCTTTTTGAAAAGGTACAGCCCCAGTGACTGCTTTTGTACCTTTTTTTCTGAAAGTGTATACCTCAAATCTAGTTGTCCAGTCAATCGCAAAGCTCTTTCCCACTTTATATATGTTGTGTTTGTGTTTCGCAGCATTCACGCTGAAAACAAATACAGTCGCTCAGCCTTTTTGCCACTCAGTGTGAGTAACTGCAGGCACTCCGGCCGTCGGTGACATCACGCGCATACCCTCTAAACTGTGAAGTGATGGGAATGTCTAAGGGTGAAACTTGACAGGATCATATTAAAAAAACAAACATTTATAATATACTATGAATGTCTGATTTGAAAACATGCACATCTGTTGCAGGCTTGACTTTGCAGAGTCAAAGTCAGTAATGAATGAGATGAGGTAAATGTCAAAAAATGTCTTCTGCAACAACAGAATAAAACATTGTATCCGGTCAAATTTGAAACATTAATCAAGCAACAAACTGGATTCTAAACCAATTACATGTATTTACAAATCATAAAATAACAAAAGTTTAAAACACATGTTGAGGTCTGCCAGCACGCAGCTGTGGTTTGGGGTTGTTGGTTTGTGTGGTGTTGCAGAACTGGCCTCGTTGTGAATGTGATTGATGAGGTGGACCTGCTCCAGACATGAGCAAGGCTGAGAAGTGCAGAGCTCCAACCTGTGCAGTTCAGATCTGTACATTAAAGAGCTGAGGAACCGTGCAGTGCTTTCATGTGCCTCAAGATTTATGCTTTAAAAGAAAAGAGAAAGCCAGCTCTCTGTAGATCTTTAGCAGGGGCGGAGTGGGACCAAAAAATCTACCGGGAATTTTCGTAGTCCTAATTCCTTCACTTGCAAGAAATAAACCCTTGAGCTTTTATTTAGGAGAAAACACCAGCTGACCAGATGATCGCGTGAGCAAAGTAATCACGCAGCACAAACTGGATGCTATTCTAATGCCAGTTATTATAATAGCGCAACGCCATGGTTTCAATTTCAATTTTAGTTCGTTGGCAAAATATAAAGCTAGAGACCTTAATGTTAGGTTTTACAGTTTACATCTTTACATATCTGTGTTGGGAAAAGGGAGAAAAGAGAGTTCGGCAAGGCGGATTCGAACTCGCGTTCAGCGCATCAAAAGATGCATTCAAGTACTTCACGCCCTACGACCTACGCCACTGAGGCTGGTTCAAGACGGGTGTCGTTTTGCTTGAAAGACAGGCGCTTAGTGCAAATATATGCTCCGTTATAGAAAATGTAAAAATAAACAAATAAATAAATAAATGTTTTCTTCCCTTAGCTTGGGCCATGGCGAACTTCCAATAAATACATTTTATCAGACCGGGCCGGCCCTCGCGGCCTCGAAACACTACCGGCCCACCGGGAAATCTCCCGACTCTCTCGATTGCCACTCCGCTACTGATCTTTAGTAATTTAGAATAATAGAATTTGCATTTATAGTACCAATTTAGAAGTTTTACAGAAGAAACCTGTACCTGTATTCACATTTTGCAGATAGATATTTTCAAATAATCAGATATTTGGTTCATTTCCTACAGGTGTGGTTTCAGAATCGCCGAGCCAAATGGAGAAAGAGAGAGCGCTTTGGTCAGATGCAGCAGGTTCGGACGCACTTCTCAACGCCATATGAGCTTCCTCTTCTTACACGACCAGAAAATTATGCACAGGTAAAAGGAAAATCTGTATTATCAATCATACAGTAGATTTGACACCAACAACATGTTTGCGATTGCTTTTATACAGCAGTATTTAACGTTACTGTTGTAAATACCACTCACGCAGAGCGTCTCTGCACTCACGGCCTGATATCCCTTCGAAGCTGTTATATTAAGGTACAAATCAGTGCCTTTAAATAAGAGATCTAGTGCTAAAATGTGTTTATGAACTCAAGCTGAGCGCTCGTGTTCGCTGCTATCAGTGTCATGGATACAAAAGCTGCATGCGAAATCGAATACTTCCCTACTATACAGTAGTATGCGAAAAACAGTACGCGAGCAGAGTAGTACAGTATGTCCGAAATCATAGAATTCGAAAAACAGTAGGCGAAAAGTACCCGGATGACCTACTACTACTTCTGGCGAGATTCTGAAGAGCACATACGATGGACACTTTACTATCCCATGATGCCACGGGAGAGGAGTTGTTGTCGTTATATTTGAATATGGCCAACATGACATCATGACTTTTGCGTAAACATACACGCCACTTTGCGTGTTATCTGTACGCATTTTGAGCTATCCGCGTGTATGCGTGTATGTCTACGCCATTAACGTCTGTACACGCCGTCAAATGTCCGCGCGAAACTAAGCAAAATGTACATCTACATCTGGGGAGCGATCTTTTTTTTCCTAGGATGGAAAGGGAACAATCATAAATGCCATTAACCCCAGTGACGGTTAGGTTTAGGAATGGGGTTGAGGTAAGTCATATATTTATATATACAGTAATAACGTTAAGTCAACGGCGTTCATAAACACGCTGAAAAGCGATTATGCGTGTTGATGGCACGCCAAAAATGGAAATACGAATTGGCGTGTCATACACGCGCTACTTCATGAGATCAGTCTGAAATGGCGGAAACCGGAAACGCGGCTGTAACGTTAGGAGACAAACACAGGCACACATGCGTATCTCTATTGATTCATTCATGTTTATTTATCGATGGTAATATCACAAGCAAATAAATGGCTTTTTCCTTGCCAAAAAACTGTCATTGTTCATAGGGGTTATGTGTGTGTTTTATGAGGTAAAATTTATTAGGTAAATAAATGTTATTTGAGAAATTCCACAAAAGGCGCGATCTGCGAGCAGCTGACCGACGCCTCCTCTTGATTGTCGGCTCGGACGACGTAAAAACGCAGATGAAAACAGAAAGCAGAACTAAAAACAGTCACTGGAATGGAGTCTTTAAATTTTCGCACTGTTGTGACAGCGTATGTCACGCGACAACAACATGGCGCATGTAGTGCGTCCGGACTAATTCATACTACCCGTATTCAGAATGTACTTTTTTAACGGTTGTGAAGTACTTTCTTATTTAAATATAGTACGCGATTTCGGACGGAGCCATAGTGTCTCAGTCTTCACTCGGACACATTCTTCAATCTATCGCCGTTGCAGAGACTCTATATTAATTCAGGTGAAATCTCTAAATAAAATGCACACAAACGTAGAAAGATTTACTTACTACTCCATCATCAAGATCGCCAGGTCAGCATCACTGTTGCGTCCAGTGCTGCTTGTTAGCTCGCGCCAACAAGTGAAAAGTCGACCAAGTGGGACTCTTGTCCAGTTCTTCACGCGGTCAGATTCTCTTTTCCTTTCCCTGGTCTCTTTCGACCGCGTTTTCTTTGCTTTTTCCATCGTCGAGTATCACGTCTTCATGCGTGCAAGTGTCTTCAATGTTGTTGCCTGTTGTGATTCCGCGAGATGTGTCGGGGGCACTCCTCTCAAACTTGCATTGCGTCCCCCCCTAGCTTTACTACCAGGTTGCCCTACTATAAGCCCTACTATAAGTTTGTTTACAACCGAAAGGTACAATTCTTGCATAGTGTGCCTTTAATGTAACGTAGGACCGGGTTACGTGTGCTTTTCTTTTGTATTTTTCTTTAGATTCAGAACCCATCTTGGCTAAGTGGCAGCAGTGCCGCCTCCCCAGTGCCTGGCTGTGTGGTTCCTTGTGATTCTGCATCTTCCTGCATGAGCCCTCACCCTCACTCCGCTAGTGGCGTGACTGATTTCCTCGGTATGCCAAGCCCAGGTGGGAACATGGGACAGACACACATGGGCAGTCTTTTTGGCAACTCTGGAATGGGCGTAACCATGAATGGTTTTGATCTCAGCGTCGAACCAGATCGCAAATCCTCCAGCATCGCCAGCTTGCGCATGAAGGCGAAAGAGCACAGTGCCGCGATCACATGGGCCACATGATGCCTTCATCTGGGACACAGAAGACCAGACAACCTCAGCCCTAAGCTGTCAGCACTAATGAGGTGAAAGTAATGCCATCTGGAGCCAATATGAACATGAGAAATGGAGGCTCGAAGCTTTAAAACACTTGGAGATTTCATTTTGCATTTTGAGAGGAAGTGGATGTGTCTGAATGTGTGGAAACCGACGGGCCAGTTTCAAAATAGAGACTGTACTGAAAAATAAATATACTGACAAGTATCACCATTTGAAAGAAAATCAGTATGCACTATTTTAAAACAAAATTAAATTTAAATGAAAGAAGAAAGCATCGGTTCTTATGCACTAGGTTTAAACCATTCAGACTGGATTGAGCAGGATAAAGAACAAGTGCTTCCCATCCAATAGATCCATAAGGTGTCAGAGCCATTCTATGTTATGGGTTTGGTCCTCAAAAGTTTGGAGCTCCAGAAATACTCCCTTTTTATCACTGCTACATTCTCTAAACCAGCGGTAATAGGACATTGTTTCCAGATAAATGGGGGAATGGTGTGTTTGTTTCGGGTTAACGGGACGCAGCTCTATCGGTTGGAACATAAGCCGAACTTCATTAATTTCCTGGCTCCATCAGTTCCTTTGCACCAGCGAAAGATCTAGTTTCTCCCGCTGCCGGGAGGGTCATCGCCCAAAACCTCTGCTTCTTTTCAACACGAAACTCTGCTTATCATCAAATACGAAGAAGAGACTCTAGGTCTGGTGCCATTAGGGTTCTTCTTAGCCAGTAATGTGCTGCAAACTCAATTATTTTTTATTGGTAAATTCAATAACTGAATTGATCTCTTAAAGGGATGGTTCACCCAAAAATAAACATTCTGTCATTAATTGCTCACCCTCATATAACCAATGTGAATAACATCCGAAAATTATTCTGTTCATCATATATAGAGATTGTGTCCCTTAACCGCTCAATATGGATTAGCTTTAAGATCTCTTGATGAACTTTTTGATGCGTAGCTGTCAATGGAGAGACAGAAAACTCTCAGAGTTCTTAAAGGAGTAGTTCACATTTGAAAAACCTTTTGCTGATAATTTACTCACCCCCATGTCATCCAAGATGTCCATGTCATTCTTTCTTCAGTTGAAAAGAAATTAAGGTTTTTGATGAAAACATTCCAGGATTTTCTCCAAATAATGGACTTTAATGGGAACCAAATGGTTCAAGGTCTAAAAGACACTTTCAGTGCAAACTGCAAACTGTTCAAAGGGCTTTAAACGATTCCAGACGATGAATAAGGGTCTTATCTAGCTAAACGATCACTCATTTGATAAATAAATAAAAAAGGTTAAGTTTTATAAGCTCAAATGCTCACCTTGCTCTGTTCTGTGATGTGCGTTCGTGAGTGTCCTGTTCGAACTCATTCATCAAAATGAACGAATCTTTTTCAGAGTCAGTTGGTTCATTCAATGAACGAAACGAACAAATTGACTCAGAAAAAGATTCGTTCATTTGAATGAAATCCAAAAATCCTGGTATGTTTTCATCAAAAACTTTCATTTATTTTCGACTGAAGAAAGAAAGACATGGACATCTTGGATGACATGGAGGTGAGTAAATTATCAGTAAAAGTTTTTTCAAAAGTGAACTACTCCTTTAAAAAAGATCATTATGTGTTCCAACGATGATGACAGTCTTACAGGTCTGGAACGGCATCGGCATGAGGTGAGTTTTTTTGGGTGTACCATCACTTCGAGACTCGTTCGCCTCAAGGACGATAACTTTAACCACAACGAAAGATATTGTTCTAAATCTAAACATAAAAGAATTGCAGAGTTTAGATCCCAACTATAATGACCACAACTACGATAAAGGCACAGAGACGCGATAACGTTAGAATCACTGTCAGAACATTTTTCCCCCCAGCTGACGAAAGATAAAAACATCGACAGCCAATCAGAATCCATCCTGCTTTAAAGCGCTCGAGCATTTAAAGTCGCAGAGGACAAAAAAAAGGCAGAACGCTATATCGTTATAGTAATTCTTGGTCTAAAACATCTGTTTAAACAGCAGAGTATATTAAATCGATTATGAAGAAATCTGATTCTGTAAAAAGGACTTTACAGACTTCCTGATTGAGATTAGCTAGAGCGTCGTTCAAAACTCAATGGGACTTTCCACTTCTAAATGTTGGAGACAGATGTAACGGAGGGAGGTCAGTGTGTACTATATTCAGAGAGGGCGAACTGTTTTTTCTTGCTCCTCTTCCTCAGTTTTTAAATACTACTGAGACAGTTCAAATATATTACCATTCGTTCTTTGCATTTGTACAGCATGCACTTTTAATAATATGGTGATTTGCTTACGACGTGTGTTTGGATTTAATGAGTGTTATAAAACGGTTAGTTCCAATCCTTGATTCTGATTGGCCAATAGCTGTGCTTTATTCATGACCGCTTCACCCAATGGTTCTATTTATCACTGCGCAACACTGCAGTTCCTAATGCTGTTTTTATTTGAGCTTTAATGCATATTACACATTGGAGCGTTGTTGCTGTTCACGGTCAGGGACTATTTTTTTCTAGCGGAAGGAAGGCTTTTAGTGATTTTTACTTCATGAAAGTTGCACTAATACATTTTTTTTTTCTTTAATATTTTTATTGTGTGGTAACCGTTTTATAAAAGCAATAAGTCACTCGAGGCAAGTGCTGTATCGTGAGTAAGTAACGGCTGAGAAGGGGTTACTCCACTTCGCGTCGAGTCTAACAACTTCCTTTAGCCGTTTCTTACACACAAGACAGTACAGCATCTCGTTCTTTATTGCTTACATAGTTTTGCTGGTTTGATTGTTATTCTTGATAACATAACTAATTTTCTTTTGTAAAAAAAAAATATATATATATATCATTAAATTCTGTGCTGAGAATACTGCACATGTTTATACTGTATGTGTCTCATGAAATGCAGGCAATTACAAGCTGTTGTAAAATACAAAGCATTTTATCCATGGTGTGTCTGTATAATAGTGTCTGTATCTGAATTAAAGTGATTATGGGATCACTTGCAACCAACTAAACACATTTAAAGCTGTTACAAACACGCCTGCTTTATTTTATTCTTTGAGAAGATGGTTTGTATTTTAAACTCGTTTTGTAATAGAATACTATTGTTATTTCAAAGCATCCCTTTTCGAGCAGTGTGAGCTTATGACAAATTGTTTCTGTATAATAATATAGGCTAAACCCTAAAAATACAATCTAGTTAATCATGGGATGCATGGATTTCAATAAACGTTTCACGTGGCTTAAAAAAGAAGAAGCTGAATCAGGGAAAGGGTGTGAAAAGAGGAAGAATGTTTTACATTCAGCCAATAAACAATTCCCGACACCAGTGGATTAGACAGAATTAATAATTCCCGACAGTTTCAACTGCTTTCCAATCCTATTTTAATCCATTATATTTATAGAGGAATTCAAGACATCGCACATGGAAATTCGTGTCAGGTAGGTCATCTATTGGCTAAAGGATGCCTATTGAAATTGAATAGGCAGCCAAAAATGTGATAGATTGTAAAAATGTAGCTTATCTGTCGGGTTTAAAGCATAATGGATAAAATGAATGCACTACATAAAATGTGCATTTCACGCTGAGTGCCAGAGTTCAGCATATTTCACAGGAATAAGGAGCAAACTTTGTCTTCTGCATTGAGCAACAGTTTTGGTCTGCATCCAGAGCTGTAAGGAGACAGCCAACACAAAGCTTGTCACCCAATAAAACCTCCACTGGGACCTGACAGCCTTCCAGATGAGCCTGGATCCCTCCCAAATAAATCCATCAGGGAAGATGTCTGGCACTCGCACAACCCATTTTACTTTCTCACTCACTGAACGGTCCGATCCCTTCGCTCTACATACATTTCTGGCAGAATGTCAGTCAGTCCCTTGGGCTTTGCTAAACTCTCTCCATCTCACACGCACAAACAGAAAGCAAACGCAGACAAAGATAAAGGAGTTTACGACTTAAGATGATAGAATGGAGAAAAGCACTGCATTAAAAAACTCTATGTAAAATATGTCAGGCAGGCTCTACTGGAAAACACACTTTATTGGCTGTTTAATCCTCCAGATCACATTTAAATCTTCCTTGTACATACACACTCTGTCGATAGCGTTTCATAGTTCGTGAAAATGCATATTTTTTACTTTCAAAAAACTTTTCAAGATGTTGAAAATCTTTTATATTTTTAAGAAATACCATGTAACTTTTTTGGCCACAAGAGGGCGCAGTTTCCAACAATAACAAAGGCGTACGTTTATGACGCAGTTACGAGCTGAATGATGGGACTTGCTGTCAAGCTGATGGACCTAATAATGTTTAAGGATTAGTGAAAACACTCATGTTTTTTTAACATTACAGAAGCAGGTCACGATTGCTATTGCTAATAAGAGACGTACATCACACGCGAGTCCCGCGGATAAAGGAATAGTGCTGGATTACTCACACAGGTTAGTTTATTAGATGAATTAAACTTATGAGGGAAACGCAGAGCTGTTCCACTTGGTATAACGTTACACTATCACACTAAACTGCATTTAAAATGTGTGTTGAAAGTTACAACGTTATTCTACGTGTTAGTTCGTTTGCTATACGAAACTAGCAGCTAGATCAACGTAAGAATAACATACTGACCATATTCTAACATTTCATCGTGTCAAGCTAACGTTATAACATTGATTTGTTTTATGTACATTTGCTCACCTGTCTAATAAAGCTGTAAAGTCGTGACTCGTGAAGTTCTGTCAAGTCCAAATTAGTCACGGACGCTCTCCTGTCGAGTGGAAGTCAGTCTTGGACGCTAGCTCTCGGCATGAAACGCCACGCTGATATTGATCCTCATTTTAGTTCTCCTTGTTTGTCCCAAAGTCTGCTTGCCATGGTCTATGTTTGAACGAAACCAGAACTGGGTGCCGCTAAAAACGTTACTCACAACGCAGTTGTCCACGTCTGTCGCCATGGTTACGTCATGGCAATGGCAGTACAAGCGGAAACCGAGGATAGCGCGGATTGCGTCATTGACAGGCGACATTTTTTCCGGGACGGCCACTTATTCAAAATTGGAATTTCTCTGAAATAAAAGAACTTTGGATACTCTTGGGATATTGTAAGTACACAACTGCAGGAAATATATCACACTGTGCAAGTGATTTTTGGATATTTTATTACAAAATTCTTACATATTGATGGATATATTTTCATTTTTGGGTGAACTATCCCTTTAAGTTTCTATTTGTTTAGATGACTGGCTCAAGGTATCTTACTATTGTATGCCCACCAGGAGCATCTGATGATTTGAAATATATGAAGCTATTAAAGCATACTGTAAGAATCCCCAGACAAATAGAAACATTTGCTTTCAAGGAAAATAATTCTAAATTTTCTTCACAATCTATGATCTCTCAATAGAAATCCAAAAAGATCTATATTCCATTTTTAACAAGTATGATCATATTACACGTTCTATATATATCCTTTATCGTGTATTTGCTAACAGTCAATTTGGTGTGAAATAATTGTTTCCTCTCACAGCCACATGAGGGCAGCAGACTTCTCCTCAGCAAACTACACAGAATACACAGAATTTTATTACAATTCTATTGAAGTGTTAACCACACTTAAAAGTTTATGAATGTCTTTACAAAATAAATACCAATGGTTTAAAAAGAATACACCACAAACACACTTGTCTTTTTATGTTTCAAATGATAACCTGCTGTGGCAAGTCAAAAAATCTCTAGTTTTAATGTTTCATGATGTATGTACATGCTACAGTAATAACACATTTCTTTTTTTTTCTTTGGTTGTGGAAACCATGAAATAAATCGGACCTTTGGGAGACCAAGTTTTCGTTTTAGTTAAGAAAAGAATCTGAACAGAAGGTTCATCAGAGATTCCTTTAATGTTAGTCTTCAATAAAAATGCATACACATCAATTTCAGCTAAAATCACATAAAATTACTATTCCAATAAACATCACAATACAGAGAAAAAAAATGCTGGTCTTCAAGCAGGGAAGAGGCACACACACACACACACACACACACACACACACACAGAGCGAGATCTCCAGCACTCAAACAGGAATAGATAAAAATGGAAATTCACATAACTATACAACACTAATATAATGTGCTTGTGAAAGCTTGCATTCAATGACTGTGGTAATGTTTTGGTGAGAGGAAAGTGTTTTTTGTTTTGTTTAGTTTTTTACTAAAAGCACAAATGCCTATACAAACAAGCCAGCATTACTCAGTATAAATATTCTTCATCCAAAATCAGTGCAGCACCTTCTTCATCTGTTTTATCTGGTCTATTTAACACCTGGTCAAAATTACACATGGGCTTTCGGACAAAAAGCCCATAAAATCTTCTCAGTATTCAAAGAATGTTCTTTTTTTTTGTCAAGGTTTTAGTTTTGTTACCTTGTACCTCAAAGGTCCAGCTGTGAAGTACAGGTCAATGATTCATTTTTTTTTTTCTTCTTCTTAATTTTAGAGACATAAAATTGAGCAAAACATTCTTTGAAAAGTGGTTCATTTTTCTTTTGAGGTGTTTTCCTTTTTGAAAAAGTCTTTCGGTGAACTTGATCTATTGGATTCCCCTGAACAGACACATGGCAAACACCATGGCAAAAAGCTGTCGAGAAAAGAAACGCAAACCTCTTATGTCCATTCATTCAACAAACAATTATTAAACAGTTTTGCTTGACAGAGTAAATCTTAAGGGACAGCTTGATTCAAAGCATGCAAAATTACGTTGGGTCCTTCACGTTAAAAAAACTTTTGGCTTTTCTGCTGAATTAATATGGCTGTTCTACATTTGTATTGTACACAGAATGAAGATTTCAAGCTGTCTACATCCAGCACATTACCACATGAGGGCAGCAGCCATTCAATCTAAAGGACTGTCTCGCTTCTGTTCAACTCAAACTTCAAGATCTGTCCCATCTGCAACAGTTTTACACTAATTCTCTGAGATAATATCAATGAAACGGACATAATGTAATACTGTACCTCAATTGTGAGTACAACAATAGCCAGGGCTCCAGCAACATAGATGTACATCTCAAAGTAGTCTACGACCGCTGAATAGCAGCCCTGCCGATCCAAACATAAACATAAACAAGAAAAAAAATCATAGTTTATACAGTTTTGTCAAATTATCCCATTATATACTATCTAGCGTGGCTGTTTCTGCAACTGGCAGCAGGTCTGTTGTGATTTCCTAGAATTAACAGCTCACTGAATGAGAAGATTGTGTGAAAAACAGGCTGAAATTTGAATCAATGTTCACTGATAATGATAATGATGATGAATATAGAAGACTTAGAATATAGCACACAAGTCATATTGACTATTTTTCTTCATTTTTAAAAAGCTAAATAGCTGTGGTCACTGAACTATATACAAAATATCGAATTATGCATTTCATCGATACTGCAAATGTGGGTTTGGATTGGAACTAGGTGAGTAAATGACCGAATTATCCTTTTTTTATTGCAACACAAGAATCAGAACATAAAAAATACCCTTCATCTGAAAGTCCACTACTGATCTAAATGACTATTACTTTCCCTGCCCACTTTCACAGAAACTCTCGCACACACTGGCATTCCCCAGACACTGAGAACATGGAAAAGCACTAGTCAGCAGTGAGAGTGGTGACACTCTTCCCCCTCATCCTGTTTTTCTGCTCTAGTTAAATCTGAGCTATGAGCTTCGGACCAGGCAGAAGGGATGTGACGTATACAGAGGTACGAGAGCTCACCTTGTTGTTCCGGTACAGCATGCTGCCTGACAGGCATTCCTCCCTGTTACTGAAGCCTACTTCTCCAAGATGACTATTCCTGCGGCAGCAGGCCTCGGGCACCACTTCACCGGGGTTTATTAACCTAAAGATGCTGTCCTCGAAGTCTTCTGGACTGTTCACTCCACAGCAGTCAAACTAGAGGGGAGCACAGATGAAATACAAGTTATGCTCATTTGTAGCTTGGTGGGGTTCCTGAAAGTTTGGTAAACACTGATTTACAGCGGTTGATGTTTAAAGGGATACTTCACCTCTGGAAAGATGAATGTGTTTTTAAAATGGGTCATTTATGTAGAAGAAATGTGAAATTGTTTGGAGATTTCTAGACTGAGAAAAGCCAGAAAATGTATTTGTGGCTTATGTGGATGAAAGACAACAACTCCCAGAATGCACTTGCTTCACTGCCCTAGGAGGCCACGCCTACCGGTAACAGAGTGCAGTCGTTAAACAACAAGTCTAGGCTACTAGTGACGAGTCTGCCCGAAAATGTGTTTCGAGATCACCCAAAATGTCCGGGATTCGGCTTTTGCGTTCTACAGTCGCCATTCATCATGTTTACTGTGGCGAGCGGGACAAGTGAGGGCCGCGGGAGAACGGAGCGAGGCCGGTGCCGTGATTATCAATGAGCGACACCTGTGAGACGCACCGGTCTCGTATCTCTCACGGAGGAGCGGAGATTTTCTTAGCGATAAAACGCACATCAACCGATCACTTGTTTAGCGTTCATGTAAACACGACATTCAGATTCACCAATCAGAATGAATTCAGTTAGATTGAAACAAAAGCTGTGCATGGAAACAATGAATGGCGACTGCAGAAAGCAAAAGCTTAATCCCGGACATGTCCGGGAAAAAGAGGATGGTAACCCCTACTACTCAGCTTTCTCCACAGAACTAGAGCCTGCTAGCTTAGCTTCCAAAAAAAGATGGCCGACACTATGTGTTCATTTTGTGAGTGAGAACATGCGGGACAGACCCTACTACTGACTGTAGTCTTTAGATCCCTCCGATGACACGAAATGACGATTTTTGCATCATCAGAGGATTTTTTCCAGACAAGAAATACATAAATCTCTCGTCTCAGGGGGATATGAGGGTGGAAAGCACGGTAATTCGAAAATACTACAGGTTTTCTACTAATACAAAGCTTAATGCTAAATCCTGAAGTATCCCTTTAAGGAACAAACGAGACATACTGTGGTCATAATGGCGTTCCACGTTGATGTGAAGACATCAGTGTTGTTGTAGCCTTGGTAGTGCCTCTTCAGTTCCTTAGTGAAGTATTCTCTGGTCAGCTGTAAACAGTATCAGAGAAATTAGCAGCACACCAACACTGAAAACATAAAATCTGTCTCAACATGACGGACACGGTCACTCACGTGTTCCCGGAAAACGAAGGCGAGAATGGCTGCCGCCAGCTCTGCCAGGAATATAATGAGGATCAGCATGAAGAACTGCAGAGAGAAGAAGATTGTCACACAGTCAGTGTTTGGGTCTTCACCCTGATATAAACGCTCATGAGGGTTAATGAAGATTTGCTGCTCGATTGGACTCTTGTATCAATCAGTTTAATGTACGTCACCATCTTTGGTCACTGTCGCTATGATTGCTGGTAAGAATATGGGCTTGACTCCCGTTGCACGTTCATACAGACAGTATTCGAGTTGCTGTTTGAACGGGACATTTCGACTGTAAGTACATGTGGTTGTCAATCCCAAAAACTGAGTGTGAACATAACGGTGTTTAGCACTATAAAACAGGATGGTGCAACCGGATTCTGCTACTGTATTTCAACTTGCAGTGAATGGCATCAACTTTATTGGTTCAGTGTTATAATAACACTGAACCAATAAAGTTGATGAACACTGTTATTGTCCTCGTGACTTACAAAAAGCAGCAGACACTTGTTTTCTCGTATGGCTCCACAGCAGCCCAGGAACCCCAGCAGGAAGAGCATGCCCCCCATGGCCAGGATGATGTAGACGCCTGTGAAGAGAAGGGGGTTGGCTGCCACTATCTCCCGAAAACCTGTGGGGTCCACCACCACCCACACCCCGACACCAAGGAGGAAGGAGCCGCCCAGCTGAGGAGATGGAGACAGAAAGAAGACGCATAAGTTTACTACAGTCAAGTTTGTACTCACTCACACATACATACACACACAAACTTCTCATTTGCATAAGCAATATTCCATTTTGAATAAACGTATTCAGTCTATACAGTAAAATAAGTGAGGTTTACCTAGGATAGATAAAAGGGCAACAGTAATACGGCAACATTTGTCACCATATGGAAATAGTTTGAACCATCAAAACATATTGTGAGTACATTTTTAAGTTCAGGCAAAAAAAAAAAAAAAAAAAAAAAAATCATTATTTACTCACCCTCATGAACATCCCATTCAACTGGAATGCCAACTTTTCTATATCCAATTCATTCCCAGTGGGAAAAAAACAAGGCCTCTTTTTTCTAAATACATCACTATACTGACATAAAGTCGGGTGCAACTTCCGGATCAAGAGTATATGTATAAGACTTTAATGTTTCATAAGAAAAAAAAAGTCCTTTTACTTAGTGTTTTGATATAATCATATTCATGAATCCAGAAATGTATAAAGTACTAGAAACCCGGACTTGAGTAAAAGTACAAGTGCTCTATCAAAAAAGTGACTTGAGTAGAAGTTGAAGTGCTCTTTAAGCACCACACTTAAGTAGAAGTACTAAAGTATTCAACATTTTTTGTACTTAAGTATTGCAAGTAGTTTATTTTTAAAAATTCACTACTTTAGTACTAAAAGTAAAAGTACATGTAATTATTAAAGAAAGCAGTCAAAAGTTTGAACTAGCAATCAAATAAGGCGCTTTGGCGGGATACAAATTTGCTTTGGTGGCCATTGCAGGACAACCCCTGCATTAGTTGTCAATGTGTGTGTCAATCAATACCATTACCCTATAAAACTGGTGTGTGATTTAGGCAGCATGAAAGCCAACTTGCAACGAATGATTCGTACAATTTTTATAATTGTAACGAGTAACTAGCAGAACATTAAAAAAATATCCAAGTAAAAGTATTAAATTCATCGAAAATATCTACTGAAGTAAAAGTAGAAGTATGAGAAAAAAACAATACTCTAGTAGAGTACAGATACAGCATTTTAGTACTTAAGTACAGTACTTCGTTACTATACATCTCTGCATGAATCATGTCCCATACTAGTATTTACATGATGCTTATACCTGATACTTTGATACACGACGAATAAAATGGTATTTTCACCATAAACACCTAAAAAAAGAGTGGATTACAATCGTATGGATCCAGAAAAACACGTCTTTTGCATTTTGTTTCTCAGTAAATGCTTAAAAACAGCAAAAGGGCACAAAACGAAATACACTCTTACATTCAAGACACATTCTCTGAAACCAATGTCCAATAATATCCACTAAATATCCTCAACAAAAAATAAAATGGAAAACTGATTATTTTGCAGTGCAGGATTAATGATCGTGATGAATATGAAAAATTATTGTGCACCACAAATTGCTGAGATGTTCGCACATTACTTGAAGTGAACACAAAGGTTAACGTGCCACCGAGCAGAGAGAGAACTAATGGGCTCTACTGCTGAAAATAAATCATTTTTGAGTAAACGGCTACTGAAAGTGAACGCTTCCCGGGAGGAGGGGGAAGGTGAACGGATAGAGGAGCATAAGGAGTTTTAACAGGCGAGTCAAAGACAGCCGAGTGGGGGCTGGGAAACACTGCTGTTCCTTTCACAATCCTCTACCTGTCAAAGTGATACACCCTTCCACCATCCCGTCGTTCACAAACACACACAGATGAAGGTTTGAGCAGACACCAGACTGGTGATTAAGCATCTCAAGATGTGTGTGTGTGGTGGGTTTTGAGATAAGAGCCTCACACAAAAACATGTTCCTCAGTCTCTCTCTCCTGTGAGTCAAACCTAGAATTCTTTTCATGGATGGCATTAGCAATGTGTCTGTCAAGCCGAGTCCTGTCACAGCAGCTATTTTTGTCATAAACAGATCCAATAAACAGCTTGACAGTATCACTAAATTGCTTTTGTAACAGTTTTTAGGGCTGAATAAAAATGAGCAGCTGTTTTTAGCATATTAAATGGATTTTAGAGAATTATATTAGCATTTATTTGAACATTTTAGTGTTAGCGTTGGACTTACGTGTGTACATCACATTATTCTCGCTGTTGGGGAAATAATGAATTCAGTCAAACGAAATGAGTCCAAATCTTCCTCTGTCTATGCCAATCCCATAGTGGGAATTTACGTCGTCAACCTAGATAGATGATCAAAGAAGCACTTTCTGTCTCTTCCCTTTCTCTCTGTCTCCTACTTACGTTGCTTTGAAATGCTTAAACAAGTAGTTGTTCTGCTTAACAAGTAGTTGTTCTGAATCATGACAGTCTGCAGGATGAATGTTGGGGGAAATATGAATATAAAATTAAAATTACACAGAAGCATACTTTTATAAGGAGTGCTTATTATGAATAATAAACTTTAAAATATCAAACCTCAAGCTGAATTTTCAGCAACATAACTCTACTCTTTAGTGTCCATGTGACCTTGTTACTACACAAATCACAACATGTAAAAAGGAAAATGTTTGCGTTATTACTACGATTAGTATGCTAGCTGGAGCCATTTATGCTATGTTATGCTATTAGTATGCTAGCTGGAGCAATTCTGAGATATAGTCACAATTGTGAGATATAAAGTCACAATTCTGAGAAATAAAGTCGCAATTGCGAGATATAAAGTCGCAATTCTGAGAAATAAAGTCGCAATTGCGAGATATAAAGTCGCAATTCTGAGAAATAAAATTCGCAATTGCGAGATATAAAGTCGCAATTCTGAGAAATAAAGTCGCAATTGCGAGATATAAAGTTGAAATTCTGAGAAATAAGTCGCAATTGCGAGAAAAAAAAAGACAATGATCTGATTTTAGATCACACAATTTTGACTTTATATCACGCAATTCTGACTTTGCACAATTGTGACTATCACGCAATACTGACTTTTATTTCTCAGAATTGCAGCTTTATATCTCGCAATTGCGACTTTATTTCTCAGAATTGCGACTTTATCTCGCAATTGTGACTTTATATCTCGCAATTGCGACTTTATTTCTCAGAATTGCGACTTTATCTCGCAATTGCGACTTTATATCTCGCAGTTGTGACTTTATATCTTAGAATTGCGATATGTAAATTCGTAATTGTGAGAAAAAAAACTCAGAAATGTGAGACATAACAATTCTGAGAAATAAAGTCGCAATTGCGAGATATAAAGTTGCAATTCTAAGAAATAAAAGTCGCAATTGCGATATAAAGTCGCAATTTTGAGAATTAAAGTCGCAATTGCAAGAAAAAGACAACCTGATTTTAGATCATGTAATTCTGACTTTATATAACGCAATTCTGACTTTATGCAATTGTGACTATATCACGCAATACTGACTTATTTCTCAGAATTGCGACTTTATATCTCGCAATTGCGACTTTATTTATCAGAATTGCAACTTTATATCTCGCAATTGCGACTTTATTTCTCAGAATTGCGACTTTATATCTCGAAATTGCGACTTTATTTCTCAGAATTGCGACTTTATATCTCGCAATTGCGACTTTATTTATCAGAATTGCAACTTTATATCTCGCAGTTGTGACTTTATTTCTCAGAATTGCGACTTTATATCTCGCAGTTGTGACTTTATTTCTCAGAATTGCGACTTTATATCTCGCAGTTGTGACTTTATTTCTCAGAATTGCGACTTTATATCTCGCAATTGCGACTTTATTTCTCAGAATTGCGACTTTATATCTCGAAATTGCGACTTTATTTCTCAGAATTGCGACTTTATATCTCGCAATTGCAACTTTATTTCTCAGAATTGCGACTTTATATCTCGCAATTGCGACTTTATTTCTCAGAATTGCGATATGTAAATTCGTAATTGTGAGAAAAAAGTCAGAATTGTGAGATAAAGTTGCAATTACCTTTTTTTTGCCATTCTGTGGTGGAAACAAGCTTCTATATGTTCCCTTTATACTTATCTGGTAGATCAAATGAAAAGTGCATATCAAAGACAGAAAAATACTCACAAAGATGAGGAAGTTGAAGACAAACATGAGGTACTTGATGCAGCTGAGGCAGTCTCCTTCCATGCTCGTCCCCCTCGCTGAAGCCTCCCCGAGCCCCTTGGAAGAGAAACAAACATAGCGTCATCTCTGAACTTAATCTGAAACATTCACAATCCAGCCTTTCATCTGCACATATTGACACTCGACACACTAAAGCGGTCTCTTCAAACTTAAAAGGCTCACACAGTTTTTACAGCGCTCAAAAAGAGCTTTTCAGCAAAATCCTGTATTTCAAGTGCATTCAAACAAAATAAATTCAGGGTTCCCGTGTGCATACTAAAATGGCCATACTTTTCTTTTTTAAAGGCACAGCCTCCCTTTTAGTGTAATTAATGACGAGAGGCTCTTGTGTTTCAGCAGACCATCCCTCTACCTGAAAAAGCACTCTCTAGGATGAAGGCCTATTACGGCGCCACTTTCCTTAAATGAAATGGGGCTTTTTTCATTAGTTCTAGGAGAGTGCTAACACCCAGCACTAGCAAAAATACCCTACCATTACTCAGACAACACGAAGAGGGTGTATTACATGAGGGTGTCATCCTTAAATATATGTTTGAGAGCAACCGTATCTCGCTGTGCAGTGCTAATACCACAAGTCTTGTTGCAACCAACAATACATGATGGATCACAAGTGTTATTAAAAGATATAGTAATCCTAGCAGCGAGAAATCTCTGGAGGAGAAAGGCTGGGAAAAATCACTTGTGTTGTCTTGGAGCCAGAATAGAATGTGGCTTGATGACAAGTACACTAACCATGACCTTTCTTTTTGTTTTCCCCACTTCCATCTTGTTTTCTTTGTATTTTTCCTATCTTGTCAGAAGCAATCATTATGCTCTGGCGGAACTTTCTCAAAGACTTTTTTTGGCTCACCCTGTCTTGTTTTTTGGCACCTGGTCTCACCCAATGTGGTTTCTAAGAGCTCTATAGATCTTTATTGAGGAGTTAGTTCGGTGTCTGGCAACCCTAGAGCAGGTTATAGATACATATATAGAATATATCGATACATTAATACAAATATACAGTATACATACTATACTTGGTTTGGTTTATTTCTGTTTTGCTTCATTTGCTCATTACTTATTAGATCCTTGTTTGTTACTATTGTTACCTATGATGTACACCTGTGTCTTGTTTAATTGCTTGTGTTTGTATATATAGCCTGTGTTTTTAGTTGACTTTTTCGCTTATTGTCTTAAGTGTGACTATGTATCTCTCCTGCTATGAGACCAGGGTATTTTGGTTTGTTTATTAAAGACTAGCCTATTTAGAAAGTATTTTTAACCCTCTGATGGTCCGCGGGGTCTGTTGGACCCCAAATGACTTTTGCACAAATAAGAACACTGTCTAGATCTCCAAAAAAAAAAAAAATATTGGAATGACATCTGTTTTTATGTTGGCGTGACAAAAATAGTCACACTACTCAAAATCGATAAAAAAATCATCATCAAAATTAGAAACAATGCAGAACACAGACAGAAATAACTCACCACACACTCATCATGCTCACCACACACACACACACAGACATATATAGAGGAATACATTTTTGAAACTATAAAAATTTATCTCTTATCATTAGTAAAATAAAATCATCCAAAATGCAGAACCACCACAAAAATAAACTTGTAAGATTGACACATTGAAAATTGACACACACACACACACACACACACACACACACACACACACATACACACACACACACTCAAATCTTAAGACTCCAACATTTTTCTTTGTAAAATTGTTCCGGTTTGATTCTAATCATAATGTAATATTATTGAAAAACTATTTATTTTTCAGTACAAAAAATGCTAAACTTAGACTAAAAGTATTTGTACAAATAGTTTTGTTATAATTGTGATTTCATAATATTTAGATATGAATTCAACTGAATCCAACTTGTGAAAAGATACCTTTGGTTAGTAAAATAGCAAATAGCATATAATGGAGGTCTATGGTCATGTAGTGGTTAAAATGATTTTTTTTTTTTTTTTACTACATTTTCCAAAAAAAAAAAAAAAAAAAAAAATGGACTGAAATCTTTCATTAAACCATGTAAAATGATCCATGTTATCCACATGAATGAAAATTTGAAATATGGGTCTTTTACAAATTGAATTTTACATAAAATGCTGTTGTTGTTTTTTTGGGAGCCATTTAAATAAATATTTTATTTATTTATAGAAATTTAAAATATATCATAAATCCTCCAAAAACTGCACAAATGTTGAGTAAAAACATTAATAAACCAAGTAAAATTATATTTGTAAAATTCTGTATTCTGTTACAAAATTAAATGTTATTGTCAGGGGTCCAATAGACCCCAAAGACCAAGTGCGTGATTCCCAAACAAAGACCATCAAAGGGTTAATTTGTGCTGTTGGACACTACCTGACAACACACACATACAAATAAATATGTATATAAAAGGTAGTAAAGTTTATAAAGGACATAAATAATGTATTTGTAATTTGACACTTGCTATTTATAATCCTTCACTTCCCAAAGAAATATAAAAAGATGCAGCCTGTGTTTAATAAATCCTTTCAATTAAACTGAAGGCCCTAATTTCAAACGTGTCAGAAAAGTGCTTATAACACCCTGAGGGCAATTAGTGTTTTAATTACCCTCATTCTTAACAAAGGCCAAACCGCAGGGTTTTAATTAGCGTTTGCATAGATTAAAGCTTTCATTAGTAGCATCTGATGACCCCTATTGCTTAATACGATTTGTTCTTTGCAGGTCGGCACAACCATTAGCAGCTGGACGTGGGAGCGCGGGCAGAGGACTGCGTAAAAGCTTTAAAAATGTGGGCCTGCAAAATTTGGATCCACATCTGAGAAGCCGGTTCTCTGGTTATGTGTAAAAACTTGCTTGCTTAGTACGAGAGACCAACACACTCCCAGTTGGAGCGCAGTGGTGTAAAGCATCTTGGATGCCAGTATAAATCAAGCTGCCTGCGGATCGGGGCTTGCTGTGGAGAAAGTGCAGAATAAACAGGGAATTTTCCCAAGACTCCCACAGCACTGCAGTCATCATCAATCAAACATACATGGCTACATATAACAAAAAGGTCTGCAGTGAAACTACAGTTGCAGCACATTGCAATGCAGTCCAAAGAGCTTCAGAAGTGATGCACACAAAACCAACAACATGATCAAGACAGATTTGAGTTCAGCTCATTATTCCAAAGCATGGGCTCTCTGATAATGAGACCAAAAGCACAGTTTGGTTGTTTAGGTTCCAAGACTCGTCTTTGTAGTCTCGCACACAACAAAAACAGAAACACATCCATCAAGTGCATGAGGGCAGATCAACAGCATGTGTGTATATAAAAAGAGACAGTTGCTTGTTCTCTCATACATTAGTTGACACGTACACAGTCAGCATCCATAGAAAGAAACAAACATTCCCTATCTCACGAGACTAAACCCATACAACTCTTCATGTGATACACTCACTGAGCTAACATCACAAAATCTTCTTTAATTCTAGTTGCTAATATTTCCTGTTTGACCTTTTCAGACTGGGAAAAACTGCACACGTACCATCTCAAATTAACAGGAAAAATGTAGATAAGAAGCTCACATGTGGAAGGGAAATATGTTCATAAATGTGTTTTAGATTCACAACCTCAATAATGATCCCTTCACAGTAGGGTTTCTATCCAGGAAATGTTGGTATTCACAATAATGATTCATAAGTAGAGGTCAATTGTAAGGCGCTCATTAGCGCTATTGTTTTTCATCCGTGTAAACTTTTAATTTCTGCAGAGATTGAATGCTTATGCAAATCAGTTTTTTTTGTTGCATCAAGAACAATTTTTGTTTTTATTCTGCGCAAACTTTGCATTGCTGCAATCCAGAGATATACAGAGAATACTTAAACCAGTTCTAAACCAGTTATGCTAAGAATATTTTCTAAAATAAGACAATGGTGCATTACAATACTTTGAAGGTTTCGTTTATATATATATATATGAAGAGTTCAGATGCAAAAGTGCCATTTGAAATGTTGTTCTAGAATGACCATTTTTATCAAGCTTGTATATTTAAGTTCAGTAATTTCACTTAAATGGCGATGAAGATTACCTATTAATTGTCATTTAAGTGAAATTACTGAACTTAAATATACAAGCTTGATAAAAATGATAATTTTATTAGAAAATTTCAAATGGCACTTAGAGGCTTTTGCATCTGAACTCTTCATATATATATATATATATATAATATACATGCTTTTCTAGTATTGAGTCGGAAGATGTGCCATTACTTGTGGACTGATTTAGACACCTTTACAGATAAAATAATAAAGTTTTGACAAAAATGTAAATGTAAACCTTACATTTTAGCCTTTAAAACAGTTTTAAAGAAAAGGGAAAAGTTAAAATTATACGTAATTATTTTTTTCTTATAAAGACCAATTCACACGGACTAACAGCGAAAGTCACCAGAACAGCAAAGACCAGAACAAGCACTTCTCAGACAATCCAACTTCCAAGACCTACAAATGCAGATTCATCATGTTCAATCAGCGAAATTCCGACAGGGATAACACACTGATCTGATAAAACCTGACAAAGTGTCAGTTGTCGTCTGTCACCGTCCGTTGGTGCAGTGTGAATAGAGCGCTGAAGTGATGACGTCACTTTGTAGGACAACTCGGAAGTTAGAGGCGCATGGGTTCCCTTGATCAAAAAGCTATGCATTTCCCCATAGACTTTTGGAAAATCACAAAATTTATAATAATTTCAACAAGTTAATCCAACATTTTGAAGCCTATATAAAGTTTTTAAAAAACACAAGCAGACACAATAAAGTTTAAAAAACCACAAGCAGGTTATAACTGTGTGTTTTATGTCATAGATCAAAACGTTAAAATATTTAGACGCTTTGTTCACCACAGACCTTATTTCAGGCGATTTAGCAAAAACCCATTCAAAAATCCCATAGACTTTAGGGCGAGGGAACTGGGAGTGCTAAAATGCTAACTCACTTCCGCGTTTTGGCCTACAGAGTTGACGTCGTAACTTCGGCACTCTACTGGTCCTATAATA